CTGATTTGGTGAGAGATGACAGAGAATTTTGGAAATTTCAGAATAGAATTTGGGTACCATGTTATGGTGATCTTAGAAAACGTATTTTGGATGAGGCTCATAAGTCACGTTTTGCGATACATCCAGGTACAAATAAAATGTATCGGAATTTGAATCAACATTATTGGTGGCCAGGTATGAAGAAAGATATTGCTAAACATGTTGAACAATGCCTGACATGTCTCCAAGTAAAGATTGAACATCAGTGTCCCTATGGTAAGTTGCAATCTTTAGAAATTTTGGTTTGGAAGTGGGATCATATTACTATGGATTTCATAACCAAATTGCCGAGAACATCGAAAGGGTATGATGCAATATGGGTGATAGTAGATCGGTTGTCTAAATCTGCACACTTCTTACCTATGAAAGAGTCATATTCGATGGAGAGATTGGCAAAGTTATACATTGATGAGATAGTGACACGACATGGTGTTCCTTTATCAATTGTTTCTGATAGAGATAGTCGTTTCACTTCTATGTTTTGGAAGAGCTTTCAGAGAGAAAAGGGTTCACAAATTAAGCTAAGTACAACTTATCATCCTCAGACTGATGGACAGAGTGAGCGCACTATCCAAACTTTAGAAGATATGTTGAGATCTTGTATCATTGATTTTGGAGGGTCGTGGGATAGTCATTTGGCTTTGGTTGAATTTGCGTACAACAATAGCTACCACTCAAGTATTCAAGCAGCACCTTTTGAGGTTCTGTATGGACGAAAATGTAGAACTCCTTTGTGCTGGAATGAAATAGGTGAAAAACAGTTAGCTGGGCCTGAGTTAGTTCAGCAAACTGCAWATAAAATTGGAGTAATACGAGAACGGATGAAAGCGGCACAAGATAGACAAAGAAGTTATGCAGATAAACGTCGGAAGCCGATTGAGTTTCAAATAGGTGATAAAGTAATGTTGAAAGTATCACCTTCGAAAGGAATGGTACGTTTTGGAAAAAGAGGGAAGTTAAGTCCAAGATATGTTGGACCATTTCCTATTATTGGAAAAGTTGGGGAAGGGGCCTATAAGTTAGAACTTCCTTTGGAATTAAGTGGAATTCATGACACGTTTCATGTGTCAAATTTGAGGAAGTGTCTAATAAGTCCAGATGTGGCAGTACCATTACCTGAAATTAAGGTAGATGAGAGATTAAGCTTTGAAGAAACCCCTGAACAAATTACTGATTACAAAGTAAAGAAGTTGCGAAACAAAGAGATTGGGTTAGTAAAAGTTCAATGGCGTTATCATAAGGGACCAGATGCCACATGGGAATCTGAATCGGAAATGCGAATGAAATATCCTATCTGTTTAACGGAATTCCGGGACGGAATTCTTTTAAGGAGATAATGTTGTAATATTCAGGTTTTAATTTTCGATTTTTAATAAATAAATATATATATATATATATATGTGTGTGTGTGTGTGTGTGTGTGTAGTAATAGGGAGTAAGGGGGAAAGTCGGTAGGAGGCACCGCCTTCCCTTACTACTATTAATAGAAATTCTGAATTTCTTTAAAGRGTATTACTCATTCACCATTTTTAGAAARCTCCCTTTTAGAATCATACRGATACAAGAGGAGAATTCAAAAGCCTGGACATTCAAATTATAAGGTGAGTGTATTAAAKCTTTGAGTATAAATTGTTTATATACAATTTACTACTATTTGGAACTGGTATTATGAATTMTGTTTCATTTTGTGGATTCTTCTTTATAAACCGTTCAAGTGGTGTTCGGACTAATATCCGGACAATAAAACCGTTTAAGTGTTGTCCGGATTTACCCTAAACCGCTCAAAGAGGTGACAGGTTTACTTCTAAACCGTTCAAGAGGTGACCGGTTTAWATATAAAYCGCTTAATATGATMGGATTWATATCTGGATAAGTTTCAACCGGATTGTAAACCGCTCAAAGAGTTATTGATACTTCAAATATTCAAAGTGGTTAACCGGACTTCAAATCCGGATAAAATGATAGAAATATTTAGAAAATGTTTTATATCCGGATTCCTTATCCGGACAAGGCTGACCGGATTTCTAATCCGGCTAAGGTGTTGAAGTATTTAGAGATGAAATGGCGGTGTGACCGCGAGAGAGAGATGTAATGGCGGTGTAACCGCGAGAGAGATGAAATGGCGGTGTAACCGCGAGAGAGATGTAACGGCGGTGTAACCGCGAGAGAGAGATGAAATGGCGGTGTAACCGCGAGAGAGATGAAATGGCGGTGTAACCGCGAGTGAGAAACTTAAATATGCTTATATTTCAGAACAAGTTTGATTCTGAACTGATTGTTTGGAATGTAAGTTGTTTGTTTTGAGATTTATACACTCACTAGACCTTTTGGTCTAACGCTCAGTTGTTGGACTAACTTGTGTTTTGCAGGTCAACGTACTTTGCAAGATAAGGGCAAAGGAAAAGTTTAAACGATGATAATAGTTTGTTCATATATGTATTAAAGATACATTTTGTTAGTCCATGTTTTGTAATAATACTGTTTTTAGTATTATGAGTATGGAAAATGTGAATTATATGTATATGAGATTATTATCGGTTGTTTTAAAATGAGTGTTGAATTTTGCTGATAAGCACTTACCCCGGTAAGTGATCAGTAAACGACCCCTTAAGGGGCCGTTTACTAAATGTTATCCGGTAAGCGCTTACCGGATCCTTTACCTTACTGGATGAACATGGCACGGGCCTAGAATCTTATCGAGTAAAAACGATGATAAGGATGGAGAGTCATATGCATTAAGTGAGGGTGAAGATTCTTACCTTGTAAGCATTTACTAGGGAAATTGTTGCATACGATATCGTTTTGATGGAATACAATCTTACCTGGTAAAGTAAGTTAGAATGTTGACTCTTAGCAATAAGTACTTACCAGGTAAGCATTTGGGTAAACGAACCCTAAAACCAACACAGAAAATATATGTTTGAAGAACAATAACCAGAAGATGTACCAGTAGTTCCATCCATTTCACTTCTAAAAATTCCCATAGAATCATTAGATGCATAAAGCCTAGCAAACAAGTTGGTCCATGAACTCGGCCCAAACCAGAAAATCAAACAGACTTATGCCAACCAAACATGTGGTCAACCTGATTATATTCCATCCCATTTCCTTTGGATTTCAATTCCTTTTAACATATTCCAACACTGACATATCACATTCTACAAACCAAACGCCACCTAACGATTGAAAAGCAAGAGCATATCTTGCAAAAAGAACAGATACAGACAAGCTTGATGCAGCTTCACTTAATATTAAGATCGTTTTGAAACAAGCATTAATTGGTTAAGATCTGAGTTTCAGAATTCAAGCATCGACTACTTAAAAGATACCGAATATATAACAGAGAAGGGATGAACTACTACTAACCATCTGCTTGTTTTCATAACCACCACTTTCTCGTGCTACTTGAGGATCAGAAACGGAGAACCTAAACTACTGGTTCCAGTGGCTTGTTTCTTATTAGCTGAAGATGAAACAGCCGTAGAACACAAATCATCATCTGTTTTCGAGAACTCACTTTCCGTTTTACAATCTTGCAAGTTATATTCATCGGGTTCTTGCCCTTCTGAAGGTTTTGATCTCTTTTTGTTGTTATTATTATTGGGTAATGGAGCATCTTTATGCATTGAGGGTACCTTCTGATCATTTGAAGATGTTGATGGACATGGGGCCTTTTCTTTTTTGAGGAGAACTTTAGGGATGGGGGGATTTTCAGGATCACAGTTATCAAAGACGACTTCATTTGTTCCATTGCAGTTGTCTTGTTGCTTTGAAGCGGATTCTTTCTCGTTCATCAGTAGTATGGCGCTTGTTAAATTATCTCTTGCAAGTTCGATGTCAATAATGGGTTTTGGATAGTTTAATCCTAACTCAACTCCTGCGGCTTGGAGCACAAGTGTAGGTGCATTCCATGGATGATGGATCCATTCTGTTGGCATTCGTGCTAGCTCAGGTAGCCATTGTCTCACATATTCGCCCTCCGGATCGAACTTGAATCCCTGAACCTGATTCACCAAGAAGTCGAATATTTTTAGCATTGTAAAAAATATGTGAAAAAGAGCCCCAAGGAGAGGAGGCGGCTCAACATACATTGAAGAGAAGTGGCCATATCTAGCCAATGTGGGACTCCAACACGCCTCCTCCAACGGAGGATAAACATGCACATATTGTCCTAGATGTCAAGTGGGGGTTAGACGGGCACAGATTGTCCAAGAGTGTCGAGTCCCTAGAATGATAGACATTGGCGTTCTGATACCAACATATTAGTGAGAAGAAATGGTCAAAGTTCATCCAATGTGGGACTCCAGCACGTATGCATATATATATTTTTAAGAAGTGTTAGTTTTTCATCGTCAACTAACCAGGGTTTCGCATAAATGCCTAAAGAACACTACAGTTTCCAAGAATGGGAGATTTTCGACAAACTGCAACCTGTCACTTCTTGTCCAATACTCATTCTTGCATAGCATAGTTTCCGTTTTTGCATTCTCTTGTTTGAAAAGTCAACCGGCCAATTTAAAATATTGTAACCACTAACCACTAGTACAATTATTTAAAAGATCATGGGAGCACGACGTACCTCAGGGTTATCGAGACGATGAAGCTCATGCCCATCGGGCAAGCTCCCAGATATATACTGCCAACCAAGAATATCACTTTCAAGATCCGCATCCAAGAGTGTATCCCAAAAATATTTCATCCCCCATTGCCATGGCAACAACAAACATTTAACCAAGAAACTCGCGGTAATCACTCTGATTTTATTGTGAAGCCATCCGGTGGCCCAAAGCTCTCGCATTCCTGCGTCGACCAACGGATAACCAGTTCGACCCTGTCTCCAAGACTTAAAATGTGCCTGATTCGTTTGCCAAGGGAAGAACTTCAAGTTGCTTAGAAGTGATCTTTCGTGCGTAAATGGGAAGTTAAAACAAATATAACGCGAATATTCTCTAAACCCGATGGATCTAAGAAAACAAGCTACGCTCTTTTCTCCATTATGGTTTTGTTCTTTTGCCCACAGAATCTGCTTCATTATCACGCTGTGAAAAACTTTTCTGACGCTGATTTCACCGAAATGAATATATGGAGATAGAATTGATGTGGAGTTTCCAGTCACTTTTAGCCTATTGTTTGCGTAATCAAGCAGATGGTTTTCTACGAAGGTGGTAAGAGCTTCGTTGGCGTTTATCCAACCTGGGGACCACCCTCTTCCAAGTAATGCATTGCTTGGTTTTTCTGATTCGTCTTCAAGACCGAGCTTCTCAATTGCAAAATCTTCCACTAATCCTGTTATTAGTCCACCATAAGAAGCGCAAAGAATGATTTAGACCTATGTTTTGGCTTTTGAGTTTAAGAAAAGGGCCTCTGGCCTAACGGTGTCCAGGTTACCAATAGAACCCAGTCTCCCGGGAGGTGAGGGATTCAAACCTCACCAAAGATGAGAAGGGTTTGTGAGTTCATTTCAGGTATATAAATATTATATAGATAGAAAAAAAATGATCCAATGTCCATGAAGAAACTGTAAGTGATTCCAAATGGAACTGTTGCAATTCCAAGGAGGCAGAAAGAGTAATTCATACGGGCGTTACAATTTCACACTTGTTTTCTGTTTATATTTAAGGTTGAAAGATCATTTGAAATTTAATGAATTCGTATCAACTTTAGAGTAGAAGAATAGTTTTTTCTGACCTCAAAAGTCACATTTTGTATACTTCCTTGGTCCCAAAGTAAGTGTCCACATTTCTATTTAAGTTTGTCTCAAAACAGGCGTCAACTTTCAAAATAAATAGTTATAATTAACTAAAACTTCCAATCCTACTCTTAATTATGAAGCACAAATATTTAAGTGTTGAGGTGAAGAGTTTCATTAGTGGGAGAAAAATGTTTGAAGAATTTGTGGTGATATTTATTAAGGATAAAATTGTCATTCAATAAATTAAAAAGTGCATATTTTAAAAACTGTATTTTTTTTATTGTGGCCACTTATTTTGGGACGGAAGAAGCATTGTTTATGGAACAAAAGAAACGGTTTGTACTTCAACAAGTACTTGCACCAAGAGGAACTCGTTAGGAGAGGCAAATTTCGGAAAACATTCACATGTAAAAAGTAATGAAGAGTGATTTGAGAAAGAAATTGGCCTATGATGGTGGTGCATGAAAGGATGATTATTCACATTTCATGCTCGAGGTGGATTCATGTCTATATTTCTATAAACCAAACCAAACGAGCACATATACCCCCCAGAGGTGCGGCTTGGGGGTGAGATGTACACAGCTATGCTGTTACAAAAGATAAAAAGAATTGAAATCGCGTTCAGGAAAGTGATTTAAAATAGCGGTTATCGCAATGGTAAAATGGTCCAAAAATAGAGGTTCATATAATAATTAGAATTATATATATATGTATATATATATATATATGCATAATTAACTCAACATATTTTAGTATTCAACAAAAAAATATATAAGAATAATGATGTCCAAGTCCAAATATAAATAATAATTGAACAATGTGAATACTTTTATTCAAATCAAGAGGTCAAACGCAGACCTGTCATCCACCCCAAATAGTAGGGCGGTTGTTTCCATGAACACCTCATCAGGTTCCATATTGAGCCTAGGCCATTTGTTCGAGCGTCCTCAGGGCCACTGGGGATTTTCCTAGTTATCTTCAGGGCCCCATGGGATTAGTCAAGGTGTGCACAAGGTGCCCCAAACACCCATCATTAATAAACAAACTTGCTCGGGCTAAAAATTTGTTGTTGAAGTTTTGTTTATACAATCATGAACATTTAGAGAGTTTGCATCAATTGGATACACAAGTGATGGTGATTTTTTAGCATCTAGGAGAACGAAGCTTACCTGTGGCTTGCACCAATCGGCATGGAGGAAGATGTATAATAGGATTCTTTTGCATTTTCAAGCATTTGTCCCAATATGCATTAAAAGTTGTAAAAGCATAACCTTCACCATTGTATACTTCCCATGGCTCATACAACAAGTCAGCATTGTAGGTTTGAACAGGAACACCAAGCTCCCCAAGCTTTTGTTTTATATTGTGATCACGAACAAGTGAAACAGGATCTGAAACAAATACAAATCAAATCTCTAAGAATAACCAAAACTGTAGAAGGAAGAAGAACAAAGAATATCAATTGTACCAAGTCATATGGTGAATTGGTCTTTTAATGCTCAAGATAATAATACAGTTGAGTTCCATAGTTCAAAAAACGACAAGATTCTGATCTTTGCAACTCAATTATTTGACTATTATTCCCTGATAGGACCCTGAATTTGACATGAACGTAAAACCTTACTATTTATGTTCATCTTGATGAATCCCTTATTGGAAGAGTAACCCGTTTCTAGAGAAAACTGAAGAACAAGGAAGAACCAGATGCATAATTCCATCTTGGGCCTAACCAGAATTATCTTTATTTTTTTCTATTTTATTTTTTTGGGTGGTGGTGGGCAAGTTATATGTCGTCTATAACAAATTCTCTCAATAGCCTAAAGGTCATTCTAAAATTAGCAAACATCATTGAGGTCAATCCTAAGCAGTTTCAATGTAGAGGTCTTCCTTTCACGACTATTTTCCTCTAAAAACATACAATATGAACTTTCTTTTCAATTTTCAATGAACTGGGATGCATTAATGGGCACCAAAAAATGTTTCCACCCCACTCCTGGCGAGGAGTGTTGTTCTTGGGTTTTTTAAATAGTAAAAGATAAGAATCATGATGATATCATTGGGGGATTCTTGGGTTTCTCATTTCCCCTCGTTCAAATTTACCTCACTATCCAATTTGTCATCAAGAGATTAAAGATAGCTTAGGTTTCATAGTTACAAAACTACTTATAATGATTGTTGAACAATACTCCGTGTCAATTCATATAATATGACTAAAATCAAAAAGGTTATGCTCATATACCAAAAAAAGTTTTCATGCAAAATTGGTGTAATAATGCTCTATTACAGTATTCCAACACTATAACCAACTCTAGAAACCATTTAGCAAGAGGAATAGAAGGCTTTTCCCATTTCTTCATCACGGAATTCATGTTTCAACTCCATGGCATAAGGAAACCATCTTAAAGTATCTAATATACAAATTTAAACAGGAAATTGCTTCTCCTTCTATAGGAAACACACAACAGTTTACACATCAAGACATGGGATTCCTGGAGTTCATACAAGAATGGATCCAAGGCCACTGGAGAAGGGTAGTGCCATGTTCTTCGTAGGTAATGATAAATTCCAATTAAATATCTCATTAGATACTCTTACTGATGTATCTATAGCCTAATAAGGAAAAACAATCATTTACGTCATGTTTCTTGAAGTCTAACCAGTAATGGAGAGCGCATATTTCATGATCAACTTTAGCCGACTACCAATCTATAGCCCTCAAACTCATTTTTACAACAATGCAAATTCACCTACACTCATAGGTTTCCTATTACATCCAAAATGTTGTATTATGTCTTATTGGTTTTAGTAGCACACATCTTGCTTAGAGTCCAAAATGTTGTATTATGTCTTATTGTCTAAGTTTGAAGCGTATATAGCTATCGGAGTATTACATATAATCGGAAGGATGATTCTAATAATCAAATTTAAGACATTCAACACACAAAAATGTAAAATAATCTATTTGTATATTCAAATTAGAGGAAAATAAAAAATAATTGATAAAACGTAATTCTAAAAGGTCATGCACCTCCGTGGACCCTACTCCATATGGGACTTAACAGGTCCGTTTTGTTCGAAAAGGCCAAGCAGGAGGGGTTATTTAGTTAAATGACCTCCTAACAAGTCCTTTCTAAACCATTACCTCCTAATAGGTTTCTAGGCATTCTTGTGTATGGAAGTGAGATTCTTCTAATTAACGGGTGACAGTCTCAAATTTGTTAGAAGGACCTTTAATGAATCCAGGCCATTCGAGGTCGCCCAGGGATTAGTCGGTGGGCATAAGTTGGCTCGGAAACCCACTATTACCCAAAAAAAACTTATTAGAAGCTCATGGATTAAAAAAACCCAAGGTCATTTAACCAAAAGACCCATGCACGGAGCTAGTAGGTTCAGAAACTAGAATTCCCTTTTGAGTTTTGCAGTCAAGCATGAAATTTCCAGGATGCAAATTGACATAGATCTAACAACTTCAGAGGAAACAAAGCTACTACATTAAAATCAATATAATATGTAATAAAAAGCTACTAGAATTCAAGACTTACAACAATAAATCTCTGTCAAACTTCCAATTTGGAAATAACTAGTTTGACCACAAAGTCAAAATGTACCAATTACTAATCTTAAAGATAAGAAGCAGAGGAGGGTATGCATACCATAAAGTTGATTATACACTACTTTTGTAGCACCAATAGCAGTGATGCATTCAATAAGAGCAGAAATAGTATTCTGAGCTTTCATGAAAACAAGATGAGCTCCAAGTGATCTCAAAGACTGCCCTAAATGGATCAAAGATTGCTTCAACCACCATCTTGAAACCCTACCAGGGTAAAATTGTTGTTCTTCTTTAGGACACCATATGAACACAGCAAAAACAGACCCATCTCTTGCAGCTGCAGCTAGGGCTGGATTATCTTCGATCCTCAGATCCCTCCTAAACCAAACAATCGTCTTACAATTCCCACTGTTATCCATCAATTTCCCCCTTAAATTCCACTTCAATTCGACTAAAAAATCACATATTCTTGAAAACCCTACATAAAGTCTAGAAAGCAATCTTTGACTATGAAGATTCGACACAATCTGATCTCAAGATTCAACCATTTTTCACATGAATCAGGAAAACCCAATATCGAGAAGGGAAAGTGAAGGGATTTGGCATGATTAAAAAGGAACCCAGATGAGAAAAAAAAAATGACGTGTTATACTTATTTGTTTGAAGAAACTACGAGAAGGAGGATGACGATGGACGATTCATCGATGAATATGAGATGGGGATTGCTTTCACATGGGTTTGTTTGAGCAAATGGGTAGTGTTGTTTTATCCTAATTGGCAATGGAAAAATAAAGATATATGGAGGCATTTTATAATCAGAAATCATGTGACGAGATTCACGTTGATCCAGAGCAGAGCAGGTTTTACTGGATACGGAGATGGGGCCACCATAAATGTTATACATGCAATCATAGTCTCTGTTTTACCTTTTTACCATTGGGAAAACCATAAAGTTTAAAGCTAAATAAGAGGAGAGAGATTGTAAATGAACTTTAACCAAACGGTCGTAAATTAGGCATGGAAATGATGAGGGGAGTGGGTTTTACATCGTTTTAAAAGTGTACTGTAAATATTATAATATTTTTGGATATTATATTTTTTGTTTCGTCTTATAAAATATTATATTAAGATCACTAATATGTCATATAAAAATAATGTTGTTATAGTAAAACGATACAACTATGAACATTTTATTTTTACTAAAATACAACATCAAATGAGAAAGTTTTTAAATTGATAGATTCTTCAATCAAATATCTATCAACATCATTCATATTCTCAGATATATCTATTTATTGTTGCTGCAAAAATGATTTCAATAATTTTTTTTCAATTAAATTCTTTATCATTATTGTTTGATGATGAATCTCTTTTGGTAACCTGGACAATGAGCTAAAAAATACAAACATAAAGTCAACAAATATCATATAAAATTTTGCAAATTATTAATATATATATATATATATATGTGTGTGTGTGTGTATGTGTATGTGTGTGTGTGTGTGCGTGCGCGCACGTGTGCGTGTGTGTGTGTGTAGAGAGAGAGACTTGGGATCACGTGAAACTAGCATGTTTTTATGAGACTCGTGAGACCACTTTTTTACAGTTGAAACTTCCCAGCAAAACGTTGTGAAGATAACCTTCACAGTAAAACACTGTGAAAGTTCAACTTTTTTTTTACCTTCACAACGTTTTGCTGTAAAGTTTCAAGTGTAAAAAAATGATCTCACAGGTCTCATGAAAATAGGTTAGTCTCACATGAATCCAACCCTCTATATATATATATATATATATATATATATATATGATTGTAAAAACTTCGCTGGGTATATATTTAGTATTCATCACATTTCGTTTGTTAAGTTTATATATACTATTAACCCACTAATCCATCGCAAACCGCAAAAGATAGATTATACTTTTAAATGAGTCGAACCGTCATACCTAAATAGGATTATATAAATATTGCAAACCGTTTAACTCAAGTAACAAGTCACATAAGGACACCCTTCATCATGAATCATGATTACAAAAAATAATAGAGTTGATTGTACTTTTATAATTCCATCACGTGTTTGGTGAAAACTTTGTTTCTCGTCACCACAATTTGCAAATTACAAAATATATTTTCTTGTTACAATTTTGATTATGATCTTAATGGTCGTTAACCGACTCCATTAAATGCTTCTTATTATGATGATAATTTCTTTTACCTAATTTTTGTTACTTTTTCATGATACAACCTCACAATCCGTACGTACAAGTTTGGTTGCATTTAAGACATTATAATTAAGTTGAGTTTATAGGACGTTACCAATTTCAAAGTGTCATATTACACTATTTTATGAGACTTAATTTATAGGACCAAAAAGTAAAAAGTTTTATCTAAAGGCGTTGTAATAAGTTTATAGGACGTTTTTGGGCGACTTAACAAATTCTATGGGATATAATCTCATTACCTATTTTGAGGGACACTTTTGAAAAAGTGTCTTAAAAACCCATCTTTTTATAGAACATTTGTTTTTATAAGACATTTTTTCAAATAGTGTTATATAAAATAGCTAATGTGACAGTTTGTGTTAAAAATATCCTATAAAACTTGTTAAGACATCCAAAAACGTCTTATAAACTTATTACAATGCCTTTAGATACAACCTTTTATTTTTTTTGATCCTATAAAGCAGTCTAATAGGATGCTTTAAAATTGGTAGCGTTCTATAAACTCAATTTTGTTGTAGTGAGAAGAAAAAGAAATAAAAATCTTCAATCCCTTTCCTCTTGACATACATACTAGTGGCCGAAAAGGGTATAACTTATTCTATGTTTGATGATGCAAGAAAAGAGATGAGCACACGATTTTTACATAAAATCAAGGAAACAAATAAAACCAGTTCGAGAATCACATGTTCTATGTAAGGCTCTAAGGGTGCGTTTGGTGCATGGAACAGGGTGGGACAGGACAGGACATGACACAATTGTCCCATGTTTGGTGTGTTATTAAGTGGAACTAACCTGAACAAGGATAGGACACGGGTGTTCACCCTTACCCCCTAGAACTAAGTAGAACAAGGTTCTTTTTACTAATATACCCTCACTTCTCGTGCGTCCTTCCCCGCCTTCCCTATCAGGTCCTCCATTCCATCGCTCCTCCATTCCATCCTACCCTACCTCACCTTCATCAATCGACGACCGGCAACGGCAGTCCGACGGTCCGCCTGATTTCATCTCGACGAGTTCCTTTCCATCGGCTGTTTGCTTTATTGCCCTATCTCGACGAGTTCCTTTCCATCGCACCCTACCTTCTCCTTCATCAGGTACACGATTGCCCTCTGTTTGCTATGTTTGGAACGATTTAGGGTTTGTTATATCTGCACGATTTAGGGTTTGTTACATCAGGTACACGATTGCCCTCCTTTCTCCATACTCTCAGGTAATCGACCTTCTCGATTTTGCATAACTCGATTTAGAAGAACTTGACAGCACCTGATTTATGTTTGTTTGCTGTTTCTGATTCATATTTCTACTCGATTTGCATTTTATTTGTTGTTTCTGATTCATGTTTGCTATTGATTCATCTTTTTTGGGGCGAATGCATGTTCTAGCTTAACTATGACTATTGATGCAATTGTCTTTTTCTATTCCTGGGTTTATCAACAAAAAGATCAAATCTTTATTGACTATTGATCCCACTGTTACCAGAATGCATTTCTTAGGCATGCCTTTAATTAAGATTGATTTTGGAATGATTTTGCTGGGGGTAAATTGGTCATTTTAACCAGTTCTGTCATGTCCTGTCCTGTCTTACCAAACGCTGAACAACTGTCCTGTCATGTCCCGTCATGTCCTGTTCAGTCTTGTCTGCGCACCAAACGCACCCTAAATAGTGTGAAGCGTGACATGGTGGCCAAGTCAAACCTTAAGTCTTAGAAGTCACGACGAGGCCACGACGTTGTTTAGGGCGTGGCTTATGGCAACAAATTTGTATATCTTATATAATATTATATATAAGCATTTGTTTTCTACTATTACTCAATGATTTAATGGTATTAACCATTTAAAATTAGGTTATATATTAAAAAAAAAGTAAGATGGTGAGAAAAATCAAATATTGTGTTACAAAAATCACGCATTGGACCATGGAATGCCACATGCTTAACATAGCATTAGACAGAAGTCTTAAGTCATGACACACCACGACGATTGTCGCGACGAGCTTTCTAGAACATTGGTTCTTCGTGAATAAAACCCTTTGAAGCCATGAACCATCATCTTCATATTTTCTCTTGGCACCCATTTTTCTCTCTATACCCTTTGTATGTTGTTGTTCAGCGTTCATGTTCTTGCTCAACCTTAATAAATATGAGAATAAATATGTACAATAAAAAAACCTTAATAAAGAAAAAGGAATATGATGAAATTTCCCTCACATGAAAGACACATAAGGTACACGTAACAATGCTAGTTAATAGTCATTAGCAAATTCAAAGAAATGTCGAAACCACAAGGAATGTATTGTAGTTTCTAAACTATAAGAACAAAATCTGATGTTTTCGCAAACCATATGGATGAAAATTATAAAACATTAAACATTGATAGGGGTATTTGAATGTATGTTTAAAAATGACGATATGATAAAACGTGATGCAAGAAATCTTGTTTAGATGTGTTTCTATTGCTTGATGTAGTAATTGTTGGAGTCTTATGTTGAAATAGTGAGTCTGAAAGTTCTTATTTCCATTCCGCATTGGTAGAGATCCAAATATGGAATGACTTTATAAGCTTTTACATTTAAGTGGACCTTGAATGATTTGTCGGGTTTATGGTGGGGGTTTAATGCAAGTACAATGCATGCGTGGCCACGTCGTGGGTCGCGTGATCCACTAAGTGGGGTGAGGAGGCGTAGTTTGCATGATGCATCAGAGCTGAGGGTCTTTGGCCCGAGCTCCCGAGCTTTCTTTTTATAGAACATTTTAGAGAGATAACAAACAATTACATATTAATTAAAAGATGTTGGTCACATCCGGATCTACAAGAGTTTAGAGTCAAATAGTTTGTAGAAGGGGGGGGGGGKGAATACAAACACAGAAACTTTCAATTTTAAAAATATATATTGATATAGAAGGATCAATACAGATTTTTACAGATTGTTTGCGGAAATAAAAAAAGGTAAAGAAAACCTATCTAACACAATCTAGAATTACACACAGATATACTTAGCAAATATAAGAAATTTATCGAAAAGATAAAGACAGAAAGGTGTTCTTCATGGGTATGAACCTTAGAATTAGAGAGAAATTTTAACTTGCTTGAAGATAAGTGTATGTATGTGTTGTGGTGCATAAGTGAGGAGAGCATTCAGCTATTTATACCCATTGCATTAAATGCAATTCAGAAGAGGTAGAACACGCGTCAAGCTTTTAGAGGAAATCTTGTTCTTTACTACAGTGAATAGTACTATTGTTTATTCATGAGCAGACATCCTTTCATGGAGTTGGTGAGCACTAGAGTCGACTAGTCGGCTCTGTGCAGTATTATACTCTTGAGAGGGTATGGGTTTGTCTTTTATGTGTGGAAGGACAAGACAAAAACAATCGTACATGGCAAGCTTAATTTGATCACTGAATACTGGAATAACACTCGAGGTTTCTTCAGCATTCACTGAGGCTTGTGCAGTTTTCACACGTATGTTGACCAAGTTGTATTCACTGAATACCGCTTCAAATCACGAACGCACTAGTCACTATTCTTCAGTTTCAGTCTTCGA